GGTCAGCGGGGGCGCGGGGCGGTGGCCGCGGAGAGGTGTGCGGCCCCAGCGCTGAGGCCCCGCGCTCCGCCCCTGCCTGGTGTCAGGTCCACCCTGAGAACGAAAACTGGACGTGCTTCGAGCAGTCGGCCTCGCTGGACGTGCGGTCTTTCTTTGGCTTCGAGCATGTGCTGGAGAAGATCGCCATGAAGCAGTACACGGCCAACGTGAAGAGGGTGAGGGGGGGGTGGGAGGGGGCCCCCCTCCGCCGTGCCCGGCCCGGCCCAGGCCTCAGCCTTCCAGCCTGCGAACGGGTGCTGAGTCCAGCCCCACCTCAGGAGAAACTGGGTGAGACACCTGGCCTGTAGTGGGGGGCGCCTCACCAGGGTCCCGGGACCCCGAGATGGAGGCCGGTGCAGCGAGCTCCGTGGACAGAGGAGGGACATTCTAAGGGCCTTTTTCTGGGTTAAAGTTGTCTCTGCAAGCAAGGCACCTGTGGCTCACGCCTGTCATCCTACCCACTGCTGAGATCTGAGGGTCGAGGTTCAAAGCCAGCTTGGGCAGGAAAGTCCCTGTGAGACTCTGATCTCCAATAAACCACCAGAAAACTGGAAGTGGTGCTGTGACTCAAGTGGTAGAGTGCTCGCCTTGAGAAAGAAAAAAAGAAGCCCAGGGATAGAACCCAGAACCAGTGTACGTGCACACACACGCACACGTGCGTGCACACACACACACACACACACCCCACACACCACATCGTCACTGCAGCTACACGGGTGGCTTAGTGGTAAGGAGCTTGCTTGGTGTGCCTGAGGTTGGCCTTGAGCTCAAGACCCCAGCTCAAAAGAAGTACATAAAGAAGTAAATCAATTTGAAGGCCTCCAATCTATCCACCATTGGGTAGAAGGTTATTCACATACTGAATAGGGGAAAGTGTGCTTTTGTGAGATCTCTCTCTCTCCCTCCCTCCCTTTCTCTCCTTCCCTCCTCCCCCCCCCCCCTCAGTGGTACTGGTGTTATACTGAGGTTTGAACTCAGGACCTTGTGCTGGAGAAACAGGCACCCTACCCGCCCAAGTCATGCCATTAACCCCTTTTTGCACTGGGTATTTTCAAGATGAGGTCTCACTTGATGCCCAGGTCTGCCTGGGTCTCCATCTTTCTATTTGCGCTTCCCCTCTGTGGCTGAGATGACAGGGGTGAGCCACTACACTTAGCCATTGATTGAGATGGAGTCTTGGGAAAGCATATGCCTGTGCTGGTCTCAAAATTTGGTCCCTGACCCCTGCCTCTCAAGTAGCTAGGATTACAGACGTAAGCTATCGCACTCGGTGGGGAATTGGTTCTGGCGCGTGTCTGTGTGAATGGCGATGCCTACATTCTTCCTTCCATGCTAAATCTCCTGCAGGCCTGACTGTAACATGCCATCTTCCTCCCCGGCCATGTGTCACTGGCCAGAGCTGGCCACGTTGTCCCTGCGGAGATGGTGATGGGTCTCTGTCTCTCTCTCTCCCCCAGGGGAAAGAGGTGATGGAGTATTACCTGAGCGAGCTCATCTCCCAGGGCATCTCCCACATCCCCCGCTGGACACCTGTCCCTGTCCGGGAGGAAGACGCCTGCAGCCAGCCTGCACCGTGGTGTCAGAGCTCCCTGGAGGGCAGCGGGAGCAGCAGAGCACCAGGCCCCACTCCAGATGATGGTAGGTGCCTGCAAGCGCCAGGTCTGAGCCCGCACCCACATCCTGGGAGTCCCGTGTTCCCGTGGGAAGGATGGGCACTGACTCCAGGCCCTGCACGCAGCCTGTCCCCCTGCTGGCTGCTGCACCCTTGCTGCTTTAACCCCCTCCCCCAGCCCACAGCTGGTTTATTTCATGTGTCTGTGCATGGCATTTCCACTTGACTTTATCCCCTTTTAATCATAAGAGCCACGACACATGCCCACGGCGGCCCTCAGCTGTGACCGAAGGGTGTAAAATCCCTCACCTCTCCTCCTCCCCCCAGGAAGGACAGTGGGGTGTTGCCATTTTCTTTACTTTTTTTGGGGGGGTCCAGTCGTGGGGCCTGAACTCTGGGCCTGGGCGCTGTCCCTCAGCTTTTCAGCTCAAGGCTAACACTCTACCACTTGAGCCACAGCGCCACTTCCGGCTTTTTTCTTATGTGGTGCTGAGGAATCGAACCCAGGGCCTCAGGCATGCAAGGCAAGCGCTCTACCACTGAGCCACCTTCCCAGCCCGGTGTTGCCATTTTCTGAAGCCGCCTATGTATTGATAGCACGCCACATGTCTGAAATTGAACACGTGTGTGTACACATGCATTCACAGAAACTTACGTTGAACATTTCGGGGTATAGCCTATGTTCAACTCGGTGGTTTGCTTTTACTCACAAATGTCTCGCAAATAATCTCCCGTGTCAGTGCACATGTGATTCTTTCTCTCTTTTTTGTTTTTGGTCTTGTTTTCTTGGTGGTGCTGGGGATTGCACTCACGGGGACTTGTGCTTGCTAGGCAAGCCTGCTGTGCAACTTGAGCCACACCCGCTTAGTCCCTGTGCCTTTAATTTCCTTTTCAGGTAGGACCTCAAGCCTTGCAGAGGCCTGGGTTGCCCTCTGCATGTGCTGCTCCTACCTTCATCTACCGAGTAGCTGGGGTTATGGGTGTGAGCCGCTTTACTCTTCCTGTATCATCCTCTCCTCCTTCTCCATCTCCTTCTTCTTTTGGTCAGTTGTGGGGCCTGAACTCCGGGCCTGGGCGCTGTCCCTCCGCTCCTCAGCTCAAGGCTAGCGCTCTACCACTTGAGCCACAGTGCCACTTCCGGCTTTTTTCTGCTTATGTGGTGCTGAGGCATCTAATCCAGGGTCTCAGGCATGCAAGACAAGCGCTCTACCACTGAGCCACCTTCCCAGCCCTTCTTTTAATACTTCATAGCATGATGTGGATACCGTATAACTTATTCAGTAATAAACACTTTTTATTTTAAATTAGTCTATTTGGATAGTTCCAGTGGATGACATTTGTTTTAGATTTCTAGATTCTAAGTAATGTGGTTTGTCTTTGTACTTAAGGATTAAAAAACTGTATGATAGGGCTGGGAAGGTGGCTCAGTGGTAGAGTGCTTGCCTTGCATGCATGAGGCCCTGGGTTCGATTCCTCAGCACCACATAAGCAAAAAGAAAAAAGCTGAAAGTGGTGCTGTGGCTCAAGTGGTAAAGCGCTAGCCTTGAGCTGAAGAGCTGAGGGAGAGCACCCAGGCCCAGAGTTCAGGCCCATGACCAGACCCCCCCCAAAAAAAATTGTATGATATATACACAGCATGCCAGTTTTAGTGTGTGTGTGTGTGTGTGTGTGTGTGTGCGCACGCGTGCATGCGTGCACAGGCCCGTGCCAGTTCTGGGGCTTCCGCTCAGCTTTTCATACTTTCACTTGGCTTTTTCACTCAAGGCAGGTGCTCTACCACTTGAGCCACACCTCCTCTTCCAAATTTTTTTCTGGTTAGTGATAAGTCACAGACTTTTCTGCTTCAAACTGTGAGCCTTAGCACTCAGCTTTCTGGAAGGGGTGAGCCACTAGCTCCTGGCTTGTCCTTAGTCCCCCACCCCCTATCTCCCCATGGATTTCTTACTGGTGTGTGAGAGCTGTCTATGTAGTAAGGCAATCAGCTTCGTTCCACAGCCTTTTATTAACATGGAAAAGGCTCGCCACATAATGGCAGAGGCAAAAACTACAAAACGAAAAGTCCTGTGTTGATTCATTTTTCCTTTTGGGTCACTGGCTGGTAGAGACCTGCCTGATACTTGAGTAGCTACACTGTAATTAATCCCTCAGGGGCTGCATCTACAGACAGCAGAATTCATCCATGCAGCAAGTATTCTGCTCTTACTGTGTACACTGGCAGACTGCTGCTATATTGTACTTAAAAGATAATAATAGCTGTGTCCTCAGTGGCCCTCTCCCGTGTGGCTCCAGGGCTTCCTGCCCTGCTCTCTGCTCTGTGCTGCCTGCACCAGTGCTGCTAGCAGGGTGGCTGGTGGAAGGCACAGCCAGGCCCCTCCACCAGGCTGGGAATCACTGGGCCTTTGTGCTGGGAGGTGGAGCAGGGCTTTCATAGCTGTCAGGGCGGGCGGGCAGGGCTGGAAGGATGCGGGGACCCTAGCCTCCCTCCTCCTCTCTGTCTCTGGCCACGGGGCTTCAGGCCAGAAACAGCCCTCAGTTTACCCAGAGGTCTCCTGGCACGGTGGAGGGAACCTCAGTGCTGGGCTGGGACTTCTGCCATGGGGGGATCCCGGGGGCTGGGTATGCATGCAGCACCCCTGCCCCGGATCTGTAACATTTGTCCAGAATACGCCACGCTGGCTGTGGTGCGTGTCCCCCAGCCCCCACGGGGATGCCGGAAGGCGTGGAGACACACCTGTCACCCCGCGATGGCCAAGACCAGGTGACAGAGCCATGTCAGGCCCAGCTCTGAGGGCAGGCAAAACGCTGGCCCCACACCACCCGCTTGTGAGCCGGGGCTGTGCTGTGGGATCGAGGCTCTGGGTGGCACATGGCCCTTGAGTACCCTTGAACCCCCGAGAGGGCTGGGGAAGCTGGAGAGCAAAGGGAACTTAGGAACCCCTTCCTTTTTAAAACCTTTACTCCATAGCTCAGGCTGGTCTCAAACTTCACAATTCTCCCGCCTCCACCTCCTGGGTGTGGGGCTTACAGGTGTGTACCACCACACCCGGCTGAATCAGCCCCCGTGTGCATTTTCTCATTTGTGACACTGCGCCCCCAGAGGTCTGCTCTGAAGTGACCGGCTATCCCAGCCTGACGCTGGCAAAACCAGACACCAGGCCTGGCCCACGCACACAGCCAGTGAACGGAGCTCATCTGTGCCCGGCGCTTGGGTTGTGGGTTTCCGAAGCGCTTTGGAAATGGCTGTGAGAGGATGAAGCATCTGGAGGCCACGTGGATGCTGTGTGGGGTGGGGCCTCAGCTCCACGTAGTGGAGGCACACTCCAGAGAGTGCAGATCAGGCGGCGAGGAGACCGAGTCTCCCCATAAACCCCTTTCTCCTCTCCCCAAGGGGACAAGCTGGACGCAGACTACATCGAGAGGTGTCTGGGCTATCTCACGCCCATGCAGGAGAGCTGCCTGGTCCAGCTTCGGCACTGGCTGCAGGAGACCCATAAAGGCAAGGTGAGCGCAAAGCTCCGGTGATGGGAAATCGGCCCGAGACACCGCCAAGGGAGAAACGAGAGTTTGTGCAGTTAGTAATACGCAAAATCCATATCTGCTTTAACAGAAGTAGGAACTGAACCCAGGCCCTCACACCTGCCTGGGCAAACACTCTACCCCTTTAGCTCTGCCCACCTGCCTTTTGTATTTGAAACAGGGTCTTGCCCCCTTTGCCTGGGTGAGCCTTGAACCCAGATCCTTCCAGCTGGGATTGTAGGTGTGTGCCGCCTTGCCCAGCTGTGTTTTATTTATTCTTACATGCTCTCCTCTGTATCTGTTCAGCACATGTTGACGACACTGCTAGAGGCCCTGTCCCCGCTGGGTGGGCTCTTCTTTTCTCAGACCTGTGTTTTGCAGGTGAGCGAGGATGCTGCTTCCTGCAGTTGTTGTTGTTGTTTTGGTCAGTCGTAGGGCTTCAACTCTGGGCCTGGTCTCTGTCCCTGAGCTCTTCAGCCCAAGGCTAGCTGCTCTACCACTTGAGCCACAGCCCCATTTCCGGTTTTCTGGCAGTTCATTGGAGATAAAGAGTCTCACGGACTTTCCTGCCCAGGCTGGCTTTGAACCGCAATCCTCAGATCTCAGCCTCCTGAGTAGCTAGGATGACAGGCGTGAGCCATTTCAGCCATGCTTCCTGCAGTTTTAACCTGCCAGGTGGAGGTGACCGTTCTGTGGGTGTTTCCCTCCTCTGCCTCTCAGATCCCCAAAGATGAGCACATCCTCCGCTTCCTGCGGGCCCGGGACTTCCACCTGGACAAGGCGCGGGAGATGCTGTGCCAGTCTCTGAGCTGGCGGAAGCAGCACCAGGTGGACCTGCTGCTGCAGACCTGGCGGCCGCCGGGCCCCCTGCGGGAGTTCTACGCCGGTGGCTGGCACTACCAGGACATAGGTGCGTAGAGCACGGGGCACACAATCACTGCTCAGTGTGGCCTGAGCAAGACCTTCTGGGCCCATGGGTCTGCTTTCCTGTCTGCCCAAAGGCTGGCTTATAGCGCACTGTTAACTTCGTTCTGTGTTGTGGGTATGCAGCTTGCTGTGGCCCAGTGAGCGAGGCTGCCATGGCTAGTTACCACAAAGTGGGCAGCTTAAAGCTCCACCTCTGGAGGCTTGAGATCAAGGTATCCTTGGGCCATGCCCCCTCTGTGGGCCTTTTGCAGGGAGATTTCCTGCCTCCTTCAGGCTCTGGTGGCCCAGCAGGGCCCACAGTGGTGTCCTTGGCTTGTGGGCTCATCACTCCAATTTTATTTTATTTTTGGCTGGTCATGGGGCTTGAACTCTGGGCCTGGACTCTGTCCCTCAGCTCTTCAGCTCAAGGCAAGCGCTCTACCACTTGAGCCACAGCGCCACTTCCAGTTTTCTAATGGTTTGTTGGAGATAAGAGTCTCACAGACATTCCTACCTGGGCTGGCTTTGAACTGTGATCCTTAGATCTCAGCCTCCTGAGTAGCTAGGATGACAGGCGTGAGCCACTAGTGCCCGGCCTCCAATTTTTTTTCTTCTCTCTCTTTTTCCCCAGTACTGAGGTTTGAACCCAGAGCCTTATGCCTGCTGAATAAGTCCTCTGCCTCTTGGGCTTTCCCTTTCCACTTTATTTTTCACATGGGTCCCTTTGTCAGTGTCCTCTCCTTATGGAGCACTGCTTCCGTGTCTATCTTTTCCTGGGACCCCTCACCCCCCCCTTGAAGCAGGAGGGGTGTGGCGCAATGCATGCACCCCAGGGCCTTGGCACCGCACCCAGGTCTCGCTCAGGAGAGTAGGGGCTGCAGTCTTGGGGTGGCTAGTCCTGCCCCTGACCTCAGCCCCCCGTCCCCCTTCTCTTGCAGACGGCCGCCCCCTGTACATCCTGCGCCTGGGCCACATGGACACCAAAGGCCTGATGAAGGCCGTGGGGGAGGAGGCGCTGCTGCGGCACGTGAGTGCGCCTGCGCCGTGGGGCCTCCCGGGCGCCCGGGCTGCGGGCACGTGAGTGCGCCTGCGCCGTGGGGCCTCCCGGGCTGCGGCCGGGCCCGGGCTGCGGCATGTGAGTGCGCCTCCGCCATGGGGCCTCCCGGGCTGCGGCCGGGCCCAGGCTGCGGCCGGGCGGTGATGGCACCGGCTTTGCCTTCCAGGTGCTTTCGGTGAACGAGGAAGGACAGAAGAGGTGCGAAGGCATCACCAGGCAGCTCGGCCGACCCGTTAGGCAAGTGAGGCAGGCTGCCGGGCAGTGCGCGTGCGCACTGCTGCTCCCCCCCCCCCAGCCCACCACTCGCGCTCATTGCGCATGCGCCTCTTGCCAGGTGCCCAGCCCCAGTGCCCTTCCCTAGCTGGGGTAGGGGGAGGTCTGGAGAGGTAAGGACCCTGTCTGTCCTGCTCTTGATAGTCGAGGAAACTGAGGCCCAGGGTAGTGATGTCTTTCCAGGGATGCTGAGCGCTCAGGGCCTCTGAACTTGAGCCTTTCTCGCTGGCTCCATCCCCGGCTCCAAGGCTCCTCCCTTTTCCTTTCCGAGAACAAGTCCCCACCGGGCTCTACTTTGCCCCCTCTCCTGGGTACCAACCTCCCAGGGGTCCTGGTCCAGCCAGGGAATCGGTGTCCCCCTGGGATGCTCCCAAATAAAGGGGAGAACAAAATGACACTTAGGGCTGGGCAGGTGGCTCAGTGGTCGAGTGCTCGCCTACCATGCATGCAGCCCTGGGTTCGATTCCTCAGCACCACATACACAGAAAAAGCTGGAGGTGGCTCTGTGGCTCAAGTGGTAGAGTGCTAGCCCTGAGCAAACGCAGCTCAGGGACAGTGCCCAGGCCCTGAGTTCAAGCCCCAGCACTGGAAAAAATAAAAAAGACACCTATCCAGACAGGTGTGGTCGTACACAGCCGGGCTCCCAGCACTTGGATGGTGGAGGCAGGAGGACCTTGAGTTCAAAGCCAGCTTGGGCTACAAACAGTTTTCAGGCTAGCCTTGGCTGTAGGGAGATTTCCCAAAGGACACCCTAAGGTGTTGGGGCCCGCCTAGCACCCTTGTTGTCTTCCTGGTGATGGGCGTGGAGTACAGGACGGGCAGGATCTGAGCACAGCTGTTGACCCCTGGAGCCTCTGATCTCGGTGAGGACTGAGCTCCTCTGGGGTCTGGAGCCAGAGGAGTATGAGATGCGGGGTGGGGAAGTCCGTCAGTGAAGGCCCTGACCAGAGGCAGAATTCACCCCGGTGGCTCAGAGGAGGGGCGTCCTGAAGAGGCAGCTTGCAGAAAGGCCAGCCACTGCAGCAAGATGGTCATCTTCTTAATGAGTTGGTGCTGGTAGGATGGAGGCCCAGAGAGGTTGAGCACTTGGCCCAAGGCTCCACAGCATGAAGGCTGAACGGGGCCTTGCCCTGGGCCTTCTATCTGTGGGAGCATGTTCTTGTTCTGGTCCCCTTTACTTAGCAGCAAAAGTCTTTTCAACAGCTCGTGATGGGCGCCTGCCTGGCAGACAGCGAGACACCTGCTCAGTAAATTCTCTGCTCAGCAAATGCTGCCTGAGGCGGGAACTGGGACCACGCTGGCCCCTGACCTCAGGAGAGCTTAGGCTCCCAGGCCCTTGCCACACAGCGCCCAGGGGTGGCGGTGACACCTGGAATTCAGGAGCTTGGCCTGTCTGGAACTTCTTCCTGGCGTGGCTGGCTCCTCTGCCCCCAGCCCCGCCTCCCTGAGCCTCCTGGGCCATCTCCAGGTCCCCCCGGGGTGAGGATGTCGGGCTGCCCTGGCAGAGCCGGATGGCACATGAGGCCCGTGTCTGCCACAGCTCCTGGACCTGCCTGCTGGACCTGGAGGGCCTCAACATGCGGCACCTGTGGCGGCCGGGGGTGAAGGCCCTGCTCCGCATGATCGAGGTGGTGGAAGACAACTACCCGGAGACGTTGGGCCGGCTGCTCATCGTGCGCGCCCCCCGCGTCTTCCCGGTGCTCTGGACGCTGGTGAGAGCCCGAGCCAACAGGAGCCACAGAGCAAAATCTTAGGGCCAATCAGGGGCGGATCCGCAGGGGCGTGGTAATGGGGGCGGGGCATCGGGGAGGCTGAAGGCAGGCATTGGGGGCGTGTCCACAAGGGGCGGGGCATCGGGGAGACTGGAGGCAGGCATTGGGGGCGTGTCCACAAGGGGCGGGGCAGCAGGGAGATTGGAGGCAGGCATTAGAGCATGATAATAAGGGGCGTGGTATCTGGCAGGGATTGGGGGCGTGGTCATTGGGACAGGGTGGAGGGGTAATGGGGAGGGACCACGAGTGGGTGTGGGGTCTCCTTTTGGGGCCATGTGTCTTGGGAGTGGGTTGAGATTATGGTTGCCTTGTGAATACGCCCAAAGCGACTGAATTTTGTATTTTAAAATGTGTTTTCTTTTGCTGTGCCCGTCCTGGGGCTTGAACTCTGGGTGTGGGCACTGTCTCTGAGCTTTTACACTCAAGGCTAGCACTTGAGCCATGGCTCCAGTTCTGGCTTTGGGGGGGGATAGAGATAAGACTTTCCTGCCCAGGCTGGCTTAGAATTGTAATCCTCCCATCATCTCTCTGCCTCCTGAATAGCGGAGGGAGGGTGGGAATTCTGCTATATGAAACACAGCCCAAGAATGTCTCGCCTCACCCACCGCCATTCTAGATCAGCCCCTTCATCAACGAGAACACCCGGAGGAAGTTCCTCATCTACAGTGGCAGCAATTACCAGGGCCCTGGCGGCTTGGTGGATTACCTGGACAAAGATGTGATCCCAGACTTCCTGGGGGGAGACAGTGTGGTGAGTCTGGGCTCCAGATCAGGCAGGCAGGGACCAGCTGGGAGCCAGGGCTGCCGGGGCTGAGGAAGCTGCCCAGGAAGCTGCCAGGCTGGCTCCAAGTGGGGACAAGGGTTTGTTATCCCAAGAGCGGTGGCATATTTGACATGGAGCCTTCCCCCCCTCCCCAAACATCGTGAATGAGCTGGGTGTGGTGAGACACATCTGTAATCTCAGCACCTGGGAGGCTGAGGAAGGAGGATCCCGAGTTCCAGGCCAGGCTGAGCAGGCCCAGATTTTGCACCCCCTACCCTGTTACCCTGATGCACATTCTGGGGTTTCAGCCTTGTGGTGGCTGAGGAGCCATAGGCCCATGGGCCCAGTGCAGAAGCAGGACACCCCTCAGTGGAAGTCCTTTCCGTGTCTGACCCCCCAGTGCAATGTCCCTGAGGGAGGCCTGGTCCCCAAGTCTCTCTACCTGACGGAGGAAGAGCAGGAGCAAGCAGATCAGCTGCGGCGGTGGAGTGAGACCTACCACTCGGCCAGCGTGCTCCGCGGGGCCCCGCATGAGGTGACCCCCAGCCTGGGGCGGGGGGAGGGGGGCTGAGCAAGAGCCCAAGCCCAGCGGGGCCTCTTCTGGCCCTGCCCAGGTGCCCTCACATTTTGGGCACTCACTGATCACTCCAGGGTGATTCTGGGGGAGAAGGGGATCCCCCCCCCCCGCATGGGCACGGGCAACCTTTCCCTCAAAGCCCCTGTCTGCTGGGACTCCACCTGGCCTGTCCCCGTGCAGGTGGCGGTGGAGATTCAGGAGGGTGAGTCAGTCATCACCTGGGACTTCGACATTCTGCGAGGGGACGTGGTGTTCAGCCTGTACCACGCCAAGCAGGCGCCGGGGACCAGGGCCGCCGGGCAGCTGATAGACAAAGCCTGGGTCCTAGGCACGGATTACAGCCGCGTGGAGGCGCCCCTTGTCTGCCGGGAAGGGGAGAGCATCCAGGTGTGTGCTCTGCTCCTTCACTACTTCATCCCCTGTCCCCCCAGCCCCCCCCCCGCTAGTGGCTGGGGACAGTGGGGGACAAACACAGCCCCAGGGGCTCTGTGGGACACAGGAGGACAAGGACACACAGGAGGGTTTGGTGGCACTGAGGAAGGGAGGGGAAGGCTCAGTCCCAGCCCTGTGTTCCAGGGCTCACACGTGACGCGGTGGCCCGGCGTGTACCTGCTCCAGTGGCAGATGCACGGCGCCCCCAGCGGTGTGGCCTGCAGCCTGCCCGGCGTGGACGACGTGCTGGCCGCACTGCACAGCCCCGGGCCCAAGTGTAAACTGCTCTACTACTGGGAGGTGCTGGCCTCCAAGGACTTCAGGTAGGCCCCACCCCCACCCCGCAAGCCCCCAGGGCCTTGCTAACTCCTGCCATGGTGAATTGACTGGACCCGCCGGCCAGGGGGAAGGGGAGGATTTGGACCTAGAATCTCACAGGGTGTGCAGCTCTTCTAGAACAGTCTCCCAAGAATGGTGACTTAGCAGGTACAGGATCCCGGGTTTCAACTCTTAGGGTCTCCACCTTCCCACCCGAAAAAGAGTGTTCTAAGACTGCCTACAGGTTGCATTCAGAGAAACAGGTGTCTGAGACCTCCAGCACTTCCGGGTGTGACCTTGGGCAAAGCATTTCTCCTCTCTCAGCCTCAGGCACCCCAGGAGCTAAATGGGACCCCCCCAGTTCTCCCTTTGCATTAAGAGGCTGTCATGAGGGTAGAGTGGAGGAAGGGGCTGCCTGTCACCCCTGCGTCCTCACCCCGGTGTACCCAGTTAGGTGGAGGGACCAAAAGAGGCCCAGCAATGTTTGCAAGGCCTTCCACTTCGTTTACTTAGTTTTTGTTGTTGCTGCTTTTTAAAAAGAGAAGGTTAGCAATGCAGCATCGTCTGGCCTTGACCTCCTCACCTTTCTACCTCAGCCTGCTGAATCCTGCTGGGATGATAGGCAGGAGCCACCATGCCTGGTCTGGGAGCCAGGTTTGAGTGCAGAGATGGAGGGGAAGGCTGGGGTTGGGCCCCCGGGGCCTCGGGGAGGGCTGCCCGAGGGGACCGGAGGGCTGGGCTCCGTCCTGGGGGACACAGTGCTTGGCGTCACTGGCTTCTCCCTGGGGCAGTTAGCAGCCTATGCAGCTGCCCCGGGGCCTCGTTTGTGGTGTGGATGGGGCGCTGGCAGGAGGAGGTAAGTTTGTGGTGCCCTGCTCCCCAGGGGCTCCATGTCCAGCCTGGAATCCTGCAGCAGCCGCTTCTCCCAGCTCAGCGCCGCCACCTCCTCCTCCAGCCGCTCCCACAGCAGCTCCCTGCTCTCCAGATAGGCGGGTGGCAGCCCCGGGCCTGGACCTTCACAGAGAGGACCAGCGTGGGAGCCCACGGCCCGAGCCCCGCGTGGTTGAGGCTCTACACACAACCCTGTGTTTTGACTAAGTGGCCTCGTGCATCCTTCCAGGGGTGGCCCCAGGGCTCAGCTCCCACCCTGTGTTCCACCTTCTGGGTCAATTTCCTCCTCAGGCTGGCCTTGCTCACCCCCAAGGGAACCCTTCATCCTCGGAGACCCCCTCCGTGATGACATCCCCCCTTCTTCCACAGTTGCAGAACAAAACCTCTGTCCCCAAAGTTCCAATCCATCGGCCAGCATCTCCTCCTGGCCTGCTCCCCGCCTCACGCCTGGGCCAACTGGCTGCCAGGGACGGTACAACAGTGGCCTCTCCCCAACTAGGGTCACGTGTCTAGTCTGGACCAATCACTGTGGCTCGGGGTGGATGCAATGCAGTTTTCTCAGGGGAGCAGCCCACCCACAACTGGAAACTCAATGTTCAGTGTCTGGCTGGGAGACCCCAATGCTCACCACTGGACTTGACGAGGCTGGGGACAGCCAGGGCTCCTGCCCACCCCTGGGCAGCAGTGGGGTGACTGCGGCGGTTCCTCTAACCCTTTATAGGCCTCTTTCCCTCTCAGGGAACTGCTGAGTGTAAGCTACAGGCCCCCCTCCCCCATAGCTTAAAGACAAAGGGGGGCATCCTCCGGGCGCCTGCCTCAGTGGTCCAGGAGGGCTTGCCTCAGGGGAGTGATAGGTGGCTACTGCTGCGCCATGCTGTGCCTCAAAGTCCTCTGCTCACGGGGCACGCTCAATGTCTGCCGTATGTGCGTCCATCCGTCCAAAGACACTAGGCCCCTCTTCCTCAGGACATGGCGGCCCCCAGAGAAAGGTGAGGTCAGGAGACTGGACCCTTCTCCCTTCCAAAAGCTTCTGTGTATTCTGGACAGATCCTGTCCTTTGATACCCAGGGAGGAGGGGCGTTTTTTTTTTTGTTTTTTTTTTTGGTCGGTCATGGGGCTTGAACTCTGGGCCTGGGCGCTGTCCCTCAGCTCTTCAGCTCAAGGCGAGCGCTCTACCACTTGAGCTACAGCGCCACTTCCGGTTTTCTGGTGGTTTATTGGAGATAGCAGTCTCACGGTCTCTCCTGCCCGGGCTGGCTTTGAACCGTGATCCTCAGATCTCAGCCTCCTGAGTAGCTAGGATTACAGGCGTGAGCCACCAGTGCCTGGCTGAGGAAGGGCGTTTGACATGATGGTTGCTATCATTTTCCTCCCTTCCGCTCTGCCCTGCCCTGCCCCTCTGTGAAAGAAGCCTTTTCTACTTCTCAACAAAGTCTGTGTGCGTGAATCCTTTGCTCCATCCAACCAGAGGCATTAAACACTCTAGATGCGGATTGTCTTCTTTTCCTGAGCTTGTTTGAGAATGTCTCTGTGGTTGTTTCTGAGGTTCTATAACATTCTCAGGTGGGTTTGCCCTGGAGGAGTGGCAAATTGCGGTGTATTGGGGGAAGCAGGCATCATATATATATATATAATGTCTGAAGCTCAGGTATACGGTATTTGTTTTGTGGGCGTGCAGTTACAAATAACCAATGGGGTTCAAGTGACAGGAATGATCTCTCCCCGGCTCTGGAGGCTGGGGGGTCACATCCAGGGTTCTGCAGGGCTGTGTTCCCAGAGGAGGCTCATGGCCTCCTCCAGCCGCCGGTGGCTCCCAGCAGGCGTTGGCTTGGGGCCCCATCACCCCACAGTCTTCACAGGACCTCCCCTGCACATCCCCTCTTCTTTTACGGTCTATGTAGCCCAGGCTGACCTTGAACTCCAGACCATCCTGTCTCAGTCTCCTGAGTGCTAGGATTATAGCTGGGCACTACCACACCCAGCCTAGGTCTCCTTTTCTAAAGGACATCGGTCATTGGGTTCAGGGCCCATTGTTTTGTGATCTATGGCTAAGGACGTCTGTGGGGACATTTGCCGCCACACAGGCCCCATGCTGAGGTCCTGGAGGACGTGCATCTTGTGGATGCACAGGTGCATCTTGGATCCCACCTGCTAGGTTCAGGAACCCGAGGGAAGCAAGGGCCCTCCTTAGGCACGCTCTTTCCTGGGCTGCTCACTCTGCCCAGCTCTCTGTGGTCCAGGCCAGCCACAGTCCTGCTACCACAGGGTATGAGGGCCTGTCCAAGACGCCGCCTGTCTTCTGGTGGTCCGGAGCCGGGCACAGGACAGGAGCACTGGCTGCCCTCCCACTCGCTCTGACTCCATAGGTTTCCCTTGGGTCACGGTGGCAGGTCAAGGCTCAGCCAGTGGCTCCGTGGGTGCCCTGAGTGTGGAGAGATCAGTGCCTGGAGGTGGCTGCACGCTGCAGGGCCTGGCTGACATCTGATCCACCGTGCTGTTCCCAAGGCCTCACCGGCCAAGCCCAAGCAGAGTGGGGAGGGGGGACTCAGGTGTGCCCTCAGGATCCTAGGACAGCCTTGGCCCAAGCTGCCACCCTGGGGGCTGGTGGGACCAGAGTCCCCCGGGAGGCTCTGAGACCCTCCCTATCTCGTGTCTCCCATCTTCTCTGCGCCCAGCCCCCCAAGGCAGCTCTAAGGAGGCACAGTTTGAAACCCAGTCGGTTCTCTGGGGAAGATTTTTCTGAAACAGACTCCTTTGAGAACCTGACAGAGGTTGTGAACACACTTGACGCCTGAATGGCCCCAGACAGGCTGCTCCGGTCCCCGGAATGTTTCAGAGGTCTCCCGAAGCTCGCTCTAAGAGGAGGCTAGGGGTGACCCATGTTACTGTGGGTGGCTTCTCTCCTCAGTGACTCATGAGTTCCTTACTCTCTGGGCTGTCCGAGATGCCAAAACTGAACACAAATGGCTTCAAACAAAAATAAAGATTTATTGGCTTCAGGTGCAGCTGGCTCCAGGGGCTGGGACTTGTCGCCCCTCTCCCTCTGTGGCTCTTATGCTCATCAGCTGGCCTCTCCCCCTGGTCAAGTATTCACCACACGGAAGAGCTTCTCTCCTCTCCTGTGTGTGGCTCAGGCCTGGAAGCCGGACCGTCCCAGCACAAGGTCCAAGATGGGCCTTGGCTGCCCGGCCTGGGGCAGATGCTTAGCTCTGAATCGGTCCCTGAAGGCCCTCTGGACTTGGGCCAGTACCTTCTGGACTGGGAGGTAGGTGGCCTGGGCACCCTCCCGCAATGCTGGCATTTCAGGCATGACTGTCCACCACTGGTCGCCTGTGGTGGCTGAGCCCCGTGGAGGGGACGTCGGCAGCAGCCACAACCAGCAGTGCACAGGCACTGGCCGCCTGCGCCCAGCTCGCCCCGTCTCACGTGGCACAGGGGGACAGCACCGAGTGGTGGTGGCCTGATGCTCAGCACACACCCGGCACGGGCTGCCCTCCCTCCCGGTCCCCGGCTTCCTGGGGACCACCTCCCAAACGCACCATGTGCTCGGAGTGGGCTCTGGGAGGCCCAGCTGATGACTGCCTGTAATCCCAGCGCCTGGGAGGCTAAGGCATGAGGATCGGGAGGTTGAAGCCAGACTGGTGAGATCTTGCCAGAACAAATAAATACCAAGAAGAGGGAGCAGCAGGTGCTGGGCAGGCAAAGACAGCAAAGAACCGCGGTGCCGGTGTCCAGTCCCTGCCAGCACAGCAGAGGACAGGGACGCGGGGAAGGCTCAGGGGCAGCGTGGGCACAGCAGGTCTGAGAGCACAGGCGAGCTGGTCACCTGCCAAAGCCTGGCGTCCTCCCAGCCAGGCCTCACCGACGCCCCCTGGTGGCTCCTTCAGTGCAGCTCTAGGCAGAGGGCTGCGGACCCCGGGATCCACCTGTAAACACGACCCCAGCTCTTCCCATGCCTTCTAGGAGCTTGTGAGGAGACACCAGGTCCTGGCCAGCAAGCCCACAGTGAGCAATGTGGACAGGTGTGTGGCCTGGTCACTGGTGGCCTCTGGGGATTCTTTGGCAATGGCGCAGGCCCTCCTGGGGCCAGGCCCTGGGCGGCTCAGGCGGTCAGGCACGAAGCAGGCGTGGTCTCAGGCTCTGCATTGCTGGGGTCAGCCGAGGCTGCCTGGCGTCTCGCCAGGCAGACGGGGCCGTCAGTCCTTGAAGGGGTCGTGGCTGTCGCCAGGCTGCTCCTTCTCGGGTGCCAGGGACTCCCCGCCCACCTCCTGCAGCGGGTGGTACACGTAGTCCCCGTCCACGTGCCGGGTCCTCTTGGATCTGGAGCCCAGGAGCAGGGACACGTTGGCCGACACGCTGACCAGCAGCAGGAAAACCAGGCCCAGGGTGAGGGCCAGCCACGTGGTCCTGGGGCAGAAGACAGAGTGGATGGAGGCTGCTGGGAGCTTGGCCCCGCGCCTGTCCTGTGCTGGGGATGGGGTCCCGTGCCACACCCCATGGGCGGGGGCTGGGCCCCCACTGGAACACCTACCTGCTGAAGAATGAGAGCTCTGCTGCCCGAGGGGTGGCCTCGGAGGGCTGGAGACACTGCTTCACTGTAATGAGCAGAGAGCCGCTGCAGGCCTGGCGGGGGAGTGGGGGAGGAGGAGGGGGGCTACCCATCCCTGGCCCAGGGGATCTACCTTGGGAAGTGCTGCAGTTGCCAGTCTGGGGGTCGCAGGGGCACTGGTGCTCACACTGGCAAGGCCTCTGGCAGCCAGGCCCGTACCAGCCCAGGGGACACTCTGCGGAGAGGAGGAGGCAGGTCAGGGGTAGAGGCCTGGCCTTTGGGGGTGGGTGAGCTGCGTCCCTGAAGGAGACCTTGCGGGAAACCGTGTCTCTGCAGGTGTCACGGGGCTAAAGATCTGGAGGTGCCACCCGAGATTTCAGCGGGGGCCCAGAGGGGGTGGCCCCCCGCTCCTCAGGAGGACGGGGTGGCACAAGCAGAAGCTTGGGGAGGCTGAGTGGGGACAGCAGACATTTGCCGCCGGGGGCTGGCAAGGAGCCACTTCAAAGGGTCAGGGAGGACCCTGGGGACCCCTGCTGCTGTCTGGCTGCCCACATCCACGCGTGCGATTTGTCACAGAGGCACTGGAAACCTGGATGGAACTCAGATTCCCCCTGAACCAGTAGGCAGACGGGGGCGCGAGGCTGGGGTTGGGGTGCGTGGCTCTCACCTTCGCTGCAACTGGGCCCTGTCCAGCCTGCGTCACAGCGGCAGCCGGCTGCCAAGACAAGAGCAGGGGGCTGGGTAAGAGGCCGGGCGGGGCTGGGCGGGGTGGGTGGGACACCAGACCCCCACTCACTGTCGGTGCACAGCCCGTGCCTGCTGCAGTTGGAGGGGCCACAGTCCAGCTCGCTGCAGGCCGCGCCGCGCCAGAACTTCCCAGTGCACTGGCAGTGGCCGTCCACGCAGGTCCCATGGCCGCTGCAGTCGGGCGGCTGGCAGCGGGGCTCGTGCACGCAGACCACGGTGGACACGCGGCGGGGACAGCGCCACCTGCTGTCCTGGCTGTTGGGGGGAAGGGTGTAAGGAGGCAGTGATGCTGTCCCTTCTGTGCCCTCCTCCCCCCTCCCCCGCCATCCCTCCACCCCAGGGCCTTGGCTGATATGGATAGTGCCCTCTACCCCCTCCCCAGCTAGCCTGTCCTTCCCCACAAATGTCTTTCCTGACAGACTGGCCCTGTCTGCGAGGGGAGGGGGCTAGTCCTGGTGGACCGCTGGCTCAGGCCTTAGTGCTTGGTGTGTTTGACTGACAGGGTCTAACTGTATAACCCAGGCAGTCCTCACAATTGCCATGCAGGCCTTGGTGATTCACGCTTCTAATCCTAGTACTCAGGAGGCTGAGATCTGGAGGATCACAGTTTGAAGATAGCCTGGTAAGCAAAGTCCAAGAGATCTATGTGCAATTAGCCAGCAAAAAGCTGGGCTGGAGGTGTGGCTCAAGTAGCAGAGGACCAGCCCAGCAAGGAAGCTGAATGAGAGCAAGCATGAGGTCCTCAGTTCAAGCCCTAGTACCAGCTTAAAAAAAAATGCTATGTAGCTCAGAGGGTCCTTAAACTCACAATCTTCTTGCCTTAGTCTCTCAAACTGCTGGGATTACAGGTATGTACCACCACATCAGGCTTTTGTGTTCAGTGTTGAACCCCCGGGGCTGAGGTGGGCTGACGGTTGCTTACCAGTGATCTGACGGGTAGCTGGCCAGGGTCCCATTGAGCACGAAGGTGGCGGAGCCACCGCCATCCAGGTTGATGGCGTTGACCACGTCCTGCTGCAGCAGGAACTCTGCCACCTCCCACAGGCTGAGGCCACGCTGCTCCGTCTGTCCATCCACGTGAAAGAGCACCAGCTGTCCCTGGCGGTCGTGGCCTATGGCTGTCCTGGCCGACATCACATTCACAAATTTGCTAAAGGAACCTGTAAGAGAAGCAGCCAGCTGATCACCAGCTCTCCCGCCTGGAACCTCTTGCCAAGGACCAACTGTCCACCTCCGGGCTCAGGGCACCCTGAGCACACACCACCCTTGCTGGGTCCCTGAGCAGAACAGCTAACGGCTTCCACCGGGATGTCTTTGTTTGGTTTTGGTGCTGGAATCCAGGATCTCATGAATATGAGAGGAATTCCACTTGGGCCGTGTCTCACAGCCATTTTGTTTTTGAGACAGAGTCTTGCCAACTTTACCTGGGCTGGTTAGAGCTTAAGATCTTCTTGGTCTGGGAATGTGGCTTAGTGGTAGAGTGCTTGCCTAGCATGCAGAAGCCCTGGGTTTGATTCCACATTACCACATGCACACAGAAAAAGCCGGAAGTGGTGCTGTGGCTCAAGTGGTAGAGTGCTAGCCTTAAGCAAAAGAAGCTCAGGGACAGTGCCCAGGCTCTGAGTTCAAGCCCTAGGACTGGCAAGAAAAAAAAAAAAAGATCTTCCTGTTTCCATCTCCCCAGTGACTGGAATTACAAGTAGGTGCTGCCATGCCCAGCTTCGAAGTTTTTCTTCCTTCGCATTTATGATTTTTTCCAGCTTATTATATAACCATTTCCTTTGTTATGCATTCCATACAAGACTGCCTAGATCTCCTCACCTACCAGGAGTGCTAAGCACAACTTTGTTGCTCCCAGAGGCTTATGGGAAGGCTTAAGAACAGCCCACCCCACATTGCTCCTGGTTCTCTATTTCTTTTTTTTTTAATACTGGGTTTGAACTCAGGGCCTTGTGCTTGCTAGACAGGTACTCCAGCACTTGAATCATGCCCCCAGCCCTTTTTAAGTCTTCAGTTGTTTTTGGGCTAGGGTGTCCAGTTTATGCTTAGAACGGCCCAGACCAATGCTACTAATGCTTCCTGGATAGCTGGGATGGCATCTGGTCGAGATGGAGTCTCAGTGAACTTTTTTGCCTGGGCTGGCCTGAAACTGACAATCTTCCTGACGGCTACCTCCCAAGCAGCTAAGGCTACAGGTGTGTGCCACAGCGCCCAGCTGTCATACGGCGGCGACGGCCTCTCCTCGCACCTGTCTCCTGTGTCTCGTCGCACTCGGCGGCCTGGCTCTCATTGATGTAGATGCTTCCATTTCGAATCAGCCACACGACCCCGCTGAGCAGCTGCTCGAATGGATTGTTGGTGTCTAGTGCCTCCTCTTCAGACAGGTACCTGCACCCAGGGAGGGCGGGAGACTCACTCAAGGGCAGTAGAGCAGGCACAGGGGGAAGGTGAGCTTCCTCTTACCCCTTATCAGACTTCCTGTTCCTCCCCCTACCCCAGGAATATGCCTGGCCAGGGTGCAACTGTGGCTTCCTGCAGTCCTTTGCTGTCTCCCCATTGCTGGGGCCCAAAAGGCTGAAGCCAGGCAGGGGCTCCGCAGTACCCCCCCACCCCTCACCCCCTCTGCAAACCCTCTACTACACTTCATTTCATTAAAAACCCCACCAGATCTCAAATCCATGTGTGACCCTCAATTTCTGGCAAAACGATCCTGTTACAGTCCCTCCACCATCCCTGTCCACTTCTCCAACCTAGCATCTCTCCTCACCCCAGGCATGAGCCAGGTGGTACGCAGTCATCCCTGCCACCTTCAGATAACAGGTTTCATTTGTTTATTTTTAGGTCCTAGACTGGGCCTCAAACTCCTTAGCTCACTGGCAGGCACTGTCCCAACAGTCACGCCTCCAATCCCTATAACTGTTTCTTCTGTGGCTCCTCTCCCTATCCCCCTAAGTCTTCTTGAATTCTGTGTGTATGTGTGTTACTGAGGCTTGAAGTCAAGGCATGGTGTCCTTCAGCTTTTGCACACCAGGCTGGCACTCTACCACTAGAGCTACAGTTCCGTTTCTACATTTTTTAGTGGCTCAATGGAGATAAGAGTCCCATGGACTTTTCTGCCTGGGTTGGCTTCAAATCTTGATCCTCAGATCTCAGTCTCCTGCGCAGCTAGGATCACAGGTGTGAGCCACGGCTTCCTGGCCTTGCTGCATCTGTGAGCCTTCGCCTGTTAGCTGTTCCTTTTGCCCCAAATTCTGTTCCTCCACTTCGCCCCTGGGTCGTAACTCTTCAGAGGTCAACTCACTGGTCACTTTCTCAAATCCCATTACAGCCAGCCCTGGCTCACACCTGTGCACCCTGACAACCTCCTCCGACTGAACTGATCACTGTCTCCTGATTTTTCCTACTCCCGGGGCCGGTCCCTTCACGGAGGGCGCTCCCCGGGGCTCCGCACACCGCCTGGCACCCCGCAGGCGTCCCGGTGGAGCGCACACCGCCAGGAGGCGAGGTGACCGGTGGCCTCCACCCGGACGGCACAGCTGCCACCCCATCTCCGGTCCCCGGGCGGGAAGGAGGGGAGGGGGGCGCGGCGCTCCCGGCGTCCTCACCCGGTGACCAGGGTCCCGTCGCGGCGGATCCCGAACTGCGCGTTCTGCAGCCCCCCGGAGCTGCTCGCGCGCCGCCCGTCGCTCACCACGTTCCCCAGGCACTCGCCCGAAGCCAGGCGGAAGAAGCCG